CTATCTGTGGCTAACGTAGATAGTCGCTGTTGCAGTAATAATTCCAGAGCATAAAGCAGCGTCAGTAATTCTGCTGCCTAGAGGCCAGCAGCAGCAATCAATGGTTTAATTTGCAAATTTAAAAAGGGGAGAAATAACGCCAGCACCTAAAACAGCTTTAGAATTGATCACACGGGGCTCAGTCCTAAGTGAAGGCCCCTTCACCACATGTGTGCTGAGCACTGCCTTCTCCATGGAGTACACATTAATGTTAGGAAAGAGGGAGATAAAGATAGATTTTTAAATTCATCTTACTTTGCATTGCAGCACTGTATACGTAAAAAATCCACTCAGATCTTTGCAGGCAATGTAGGACAAGGCAAATGTATATAACCCCCTGGCAGGGGATAATCAACCAAGGATCTCTTTCCAAGTTTGCTGAGCAAAGCCTGGCATCCCTTCCACTGGTACCAACGGGTCAACGCTCTTGCTCCCATTCTCCCACTTTGGTAACAACTGGAGAAATAGGCCTGATTAGACCTTTCCTGCAGATTTCCCTGCCTGACTGACATGCCTAATCCTGTGGTTGACAGGACAGCTCTTCATCCCATCCCCTCTTTTGATTCTGGCTCCTCACCTCTGGCTTTGGAGTTTCCTGACGCTGAACGTGGCTCTTGATTCCTTGTTTCGGTTTGCCCAGATGCTTTCAGTAAGTGCCTTGATTGTTACAGTGATCAACTGAACAGGGAATTAAGCCAATAATGGTCAGTGCAGAGTACAGAAGATAACTGAGAAAGATGAGGGAGACCAGTATTGTGACCACTAGCAGAGCGGAAAGAAGAGATTAATGTAACACTCACCATGAGCAATAAAGGACAAGAAACTCACCTTCTTGCCAGCACGAAGAGATGATCTGGACAAACAGTAGGAAATGGGTCACTGCAGCTGTGCCTGGTTTGGTCTGGAGGTTGTGAGAGTGAAGGAAGTCAAGAGGAGAAAATTGCAGCAATCAAAACAGAAGACAGTTAGGGCCCAAATGGGCGTACGTCAGTATCATGAACGGAGTGAGAAATGCAGATTTTTACAGGTGGTGTGTTGCATCACAGGAAGAATTATGGGATTATCAAGGGGGAAAGAGGGAACATAATGAGAATTTGGGGGAATGTCATTAACCACACATGCTTTCTGTTAAGTTCTGCTGAAAACTTTACCTCTTCTTCCCCTGAATGACTTTGTGCTTATCTTAGAGAAGCAGGGGAAAAAAAAAGATCAAGTAGACAGGATATGACTGAAAGTTAAAGAAAACAAGAACGAATGAGAAACAGACGCCTTAGAACTTTCTCGATCAGCGTACGTCTACTGCATTCACTGATTGCTCTGAGTAGATGATTCCCATGTTATTTAGGATAGGGCTTAATCCCAGATTACCTACAAGTTTTCCTCTCCCAATGCCCATCTCTATTTCTTTGCTCACCCAGCACTTCGGTCCCTCCTGCCCACCATGATTTCCGAGATAATAATTCCCGAACTTCTCAGGTAGGTCCCTCAGAACCCCCCCATCCCCCCCAAATGTCTTTTCCAGCTCCTCCTCACCATCTTCTTCATAAATGCGTCCTACACAGGCTTCACATTCAGGAGCCTCATGTCTCTTTTCCTTGTATGTTTTTAGGAAACCTGACTTCTGATACAGCTAACCTATTTCTCAGCTGTGTCTTTGGATTGCATCTGTGATGTGTCAGCACTGCTAGAGGCACTTTAGCAAAGTCCAAAAGGAAGAGATAAATTGCGCTGGAGACAGGGGAGAACCACCTGCACCACATGTAATACACGTTAATATGTATTATGTATGGCTATGTTATATATATTATGCACAGCTAACATTTTCCACTTCCCTCTCTTTAATATTGAAAACGTCTCTAACACAGTTCTGCTCTAGCCTCCTTACCTCCCTTACATTTGATAGCATACGGAATAAGCAACGGTCAGCCTTTTTTCCCCTGGCTGGGGGATGCAGCAGCCAGTGCAATACCTGGTATATCTGCGATGTTTAACTGTCCTGCCTTCATGCTCTTCGCTAACCCTCCCCAGCTGCAACCAAGCCAGTGGGGGAGGGAAACCCTCACAGTCAAATCCAGAAAGCACTTAGTGAAAACAAATAAGGTTGCTAAGGAACCATAAACTCAAACCCACAAAATCCAGGAAATGGAAAGGAGTTCATATGCTCTTTTCAAACACACACCACTCAGTCCCCTCAGCGCTCCGTCTGTCACATTATACTAGCACAGAGCTAAGGCTGTGACTGTACGTGCCCAGGACTGATTCCCCAAAATGTGGGAATCCCAAGAACCTAGCACATTGTGCCACTCAACAATATCTACCTCTCTTCCTCCTTTCCTAATCACACCACACTTAAGAAGAGTTTATAGTGCAGGGAGAATATAAATTCTATGTATATCATTAGTCATCTGTGACAGTAGCCTAGGTGACAGTAGCAATGAAGATGCCAGCAGCACAGCTGGGCAACATCAGCATACAAACCGAGGGTCCACAGAAGGCACAAATCGTACCCTCCCTGACGTTACCATCCTGCCAGCTAGACTAAAGACAGCATGGGCTTGACTGCTGATTTGTAACTCTGTTTTACCACACAGGTACAGCCTCCGGAGCCACGCTGTGCCCACAGGGATTTTCTTGAAACCAAATTTATTACTGTGCTCAACCCATAAATAAAGCTATCTCCAGTGCATTGGGAGGTAAGAAGATGACAGCCAAAGGAAAGGGGTGAGCGTGCCAGTTATACCTTGCCTGTGCCGCACAGACCCTGGGGCCACGTTTACGTGTTTTCAGAGCCTGGTGAACTCTGGAAGCAAGGGGCAATTGAGGCAAGGCCAGGCCCTTTCATCAGCTGTCCTTTGAGCACCGCATGTACTGTTCCCCATGCACACAGCTACGTTGCAGCACCTGACAAATTTCCTCACACTTTAAAACACTGTGAGAAATAAGAACATGCCACTAGAAAGGTTATATTTAGCCCTCCTATCTCCATTCACCTTGAGTTAAATCAGATACTCAAAATGTAGCAATTGCCTACCATGCAGAGGTGCAGTTGTACATGCCGTACATCTGAAATAACAATAGCCATCAGTCTTGGCTTAATCAATGCTTCATGGCAAGGTTGAAACTCCTCTGAAAGAAATAGGGTGAACTCAGTTGCTAATTTGGCTTCATCCTATCTTGTCATACAGAGATCAGAGTGGTTCATTTCTGCCATGAGAACAAAACAAGACAGCATTTCCACTTCCCACTCAGAGTTTGCACCAAAATGGCACCACTTTGAGTAGTACAAAGTGTTTATTAGAAATTGAACAAATTTTAGTACTTGCTAACAACACAACTTTAAAATGATCAGTATGAAAAAGCATAGCCTAAATATCCTTACACTATATCCAGGTGAATTTACCTCCTTGCCTCGCATATCCAGTGCATTTTGTCCACCACGTGGCTGTATTTCACAAGTACAAACAGTAAGAATAAAAGGGTATTTGCACAAACAGCCACAGCTGTGGGACATCAGGCACTTCAGGTTCCACTTCAAGTCAGCAGAGACAAAAGACCCTGCAAAGGGTGAATAAATGCACTGGGGTTCTCCCCGTTGACCAATTTCCTGTGCTCGAGGATTTTGCATCTCTCGGAAGCTGCGCTAACCGCAGGGGCTAAAGACCGAGTCGTCAGCAGGTGTAGTAGCCCTCACCTCTCCAAGACGCTTCTTCATATGAAGAGCAAACCCAGCAGCAGCATTAGACAAAACCAATGCCAGGATGCAACAGCTTATCTCTGAGGACTACTATCGAATAACTGTCTCACTTTTAGCATTAAGATGTAACAGGATGTTAGAGGGTCTACATTACTTCTACAAAATTCAGTTTTTAAACACCACATTAACCACCAAAATTAGCTTCCAAATTAGGAAAATATGACTTCTAGTCTTTTACAACTATAAGTTTGACTGTAAGTTCGCAAAAGACAGCATGCCTGTTAGTACAATTCTTCTACAGCTATTACCAAACACGGCTTTCAGTCAAAAGTGTAGTGATTTGTATTTCAGAAAGTTATGGTGGGAAATACAAATTTGAAATAGCTTATGGAATTATCAGTTTCTCAAACACATGGTTATAGATCAGAGAAAAGGATTTAGAGAGCGCCATGCAATTTATTTTGTGTAATGATTAAAAAAAAAAAAAAAATCGGGTAATACATTGAAGATAAATGTTTGTGCCCTCAAAAAGATCCCAAACTTAAAGCCCTTTCTTTTTCACACTACAAGTTTTATCAAACCAGCACAGCAAGAACATCATGTGTGGCATTTGCACAGACACAGTTACGGCTCAGCTCTCACATAAGGAGAGCAAAGCTGCCCAACTGCTTCCAATTCAGGATGCAGAAGACAAGCAAAAATAACAAACCGCCTGTTTCTAATGTGACACTTCAGCTGATTACACTGAGAAAACTAACAAGAAAAGATAAAAACGTAACTAGGATGAGCAAGCTTGCTGTGTTGATAAAGCGTGTACACTTTTATCATAATTATGCTCAAGGGCAGAGTAAGAGCTTCCAAACAGACAAGCAGAAGAAAAAAAGCAGGGTTTTTTCAGTATGTTCCAAAACATAGAACACCACACCAAAGTCCCACTAAGGTCTTAAACGCTCATCCCCTTTACCCAAGCCTTTAATTGAGTCTTCACTAACTCATGAGCACAAACTTAGGAGGAAAGCAGGGTAAGAAGAGACGACTTGTACCTTTCAAAGTTGCTTCACATACTTCAATTCTGGGCACAAATCAAGCAGCAATGATTGAAATTCAAACTGTAAAGGTTTCATTTATGCCTAAAGCAAACATCAGGCACTTTGCTGCCATGGTGATGAACACAGTAAAAACACCTTACACTTGCAGAATCTGGAGCGATTAAAGTAGGGCTTGGTGCAATAGTTAAAAACAGTCTGGCATCAGACACGTGAGTTCACACTTTAGAAAATGGTTTCTAGTTTATTGAGTTGTGCAAAACCTGAAATACATAAACAATAAACGAACAGAGAAGTTGTGCTGCGTATGTTATGCATATACATTACTCTGGTCCGGCGCAGAATTTATAAGAGGAGTTGACTGATCGAGGGTTCCCAACATAATAGCCATAAAACTGTTCGGGAAATGAGTCACCTGCTTGACTAGCATATGTTTGCTAACACCAAGATAATAAATACTCAGCTTCGGAAAACTAAGCAAGTTTTATCACATTTTGTATTTTAAATAACCAAGTTCCATGTTAAAGCTCAATACCCGCATGTTCCCTTTAAAATGACAAATCATTAAAAAGATTTTTTTATAAAACTAAAGCTAACAGCAGCTGAATCTTTTATGTCTGACACATTTATATTACAATATACATACTAAATTTGAAGGTACAAAGAGTTTTCAAAGCTGTTCCAGACTATCAAGCTGATTTTGACTTTTTGGGACTAACCCCACCATCTTCAGCTGACTTCTCTGCTGGCCTCTTTTTTAACCCTTTCATTTTTCGTGTCTGCAGTTTACCAAGATCTTGCTTCTGCATGTGGATTCGCCCATAAGTTGTACCGAACACATCATGGGAGATATTCTTTTTCTTCTTAGGCTGTAAGGGAAGACAAACATTAGTATTTCTGAGTAGAGAGTGCCAGGAGCTCCGGTGAGAAGCCAGATATCTGGCCTTACCATCACCATGTTCACCAGTAATTAAACTACCAAATCAAGTGCCTAAAAGCAAGGCCGCATACATTGTTTGGAGCTTAGCGATTAAGATTTGTTCTGCTCTTATGTGCTACCAGAGGAGAGTTTGTATGCCAGCTGATCACCACAAAAGTGCTATGGCCCCAGAAATATCAGTTGGCCTATATAAAAGTAAGCTTTGATCGATTATACAATAATTAATACTTCAGCTTTTGCTCTTCTTCACATATAGATCTGGAAGTAATATACTTTCCAAGGTACGTACCTTCAGGGCTTTTGGTTGTTTTAAAGACAGCTTATAAAGGTCATCTGAAGCTAAATGTGTCCTCCTCATAACCAGATCTAATGAAGGTCCCATCTCTTCCAGTTCAATTCTTGGTATTTTACAGCCAGATTTCTTCAGAAGCACCCTAGAAGGGAAAAACAAGTAAAACCAACATTGTCCTCTGTGATAAAGATTTATCCGTCCTCCTAAAGGGCAGGTTCAATCCTGTAGTTCAGAAGACTATTAAAAACAATTGCTACTGCTAACTCTATTATTGAGAAAGACGTCTGGCAGTAACACTTTGCAATATATTAAATCTGTTCCATCACAATTTGAACACACCCAAAATATAACCCAGCTAAGGTAACTTTTTGTTTTTACTATACCCCGAAAGCCATATCACTCCTCAAATTCAAAATAGTGCCCTGGGTATTAATAGACATGAAAAATATTTACTATCGTTTGCGGCAAAATAATCTGAGCACTAACCAAGAAAGTTTTGTGTGTGTTTGTTTTGAAGAATGAGACTGATAAAAGTGATTTTGTTATAAGAGAAATCAAAATCGCATGGAACACAAGCTATGAATGCTCACAGCCTGCTAAGGCAAGGCCATGAACTGTGAGGGTGAACATGCAGCAAGAAAGATTGTCTTGTCCTGCCTGCTCCTGTCTTCCCTTGTGTATGACTGGCTGCAGCCTACCACCTGTCGTTCTCTGACAAACACCTAAGTGAGGAGAGTCCTAGAAATCAGCCTGAGAACGGACTAAATCTCTGAAGTCCAAGACTGTACTTTGAATTCACCAAGTTAACTCACACCACCTTACTAATCCAACCATACCAAAGAGCAATCCTCCTAGCTAGAAGGGGGAGCTCAACAAGGAAGCAAGCAGCACGTTTAGGGCTTAAGCGTTTTCCTTCTGCTGTACAAGTTACTCTGTGTTATGCTGGAACACCTCTACGCATTACATGTTTTAAATGCAGCAAACTATTGCTCAAGCCGGTTCAATTACACAACCACGGGCTAAATTTGGGGAAAAGTTGACAAGTGTACCAAAAAGCAAACAAATAGGTAAAACACATACTCACTTATAGCTTCGCATGTAAATCTTCCCCTCTACAGCTGTGAAATGCAAAACATACTCTAAACCAGCCAGACGAATACTGGGCACACTAGGACCTCTGAAGAAATCTGAAAGAATATTTAAAAAGAATAAATGCCAGGTTTCTCGGCTGAAAACCAAACCAACAGATGACTATGTGTCATGGTTTAACCCCAGTCAGCAACCAAGCACCACAGAGCCGCTCGCTCACCCTCTCCCCCCCCGGTGGCATGGGGGAGAGAATCGGAAGGGCAAAAGTAAGAAAACTCGTGGGTTGAGATAAGAACAGTTTAATAATTGAAATAATAATAATAATAATAATAATGATGATGATGATGATGATGATGAAGAAAAGGAAAACAACAAAAGAGAGAGAGGAA